GGGTATATGACTTTCAAACATCTTTCAAGCTTTTCTAGTGTTCGCCCCCTGCACTAGCCATTGTAATTTCCTGCTTTCAATCAATTGTAATTTCAAGCTTTCTAGCAATCAATGATCAAGTCATGTTCAATGTATTTCCATTTTATGTTGCAAACTTTTTTTGAATTGTAATCAAATTTCTTTTCGTCTCGAAACGATCGAGAGAAAGCGGAAGGTAGTCTAGCGGAGCAGACTACTGCCGCACGGCGTCCCTTTCTGTGCTAAGAAGAAAGGTAACCCGTGAAACCAGGTGCAGCCACACAGCCACTCAAGTAGTAAAGTGGATTAGGTGATCGTTGTAACATGATGCTGCTTGAAGGCATTCCCCCACCCTTCCCACTCTAGTCTTCAGACTGGATGAACTGTTGAATTGAATCATTGGTGGCACCACGTCCAAGTTCCTTACATTCAGTTACAATACTGTGTAAGTTCTGACCTGACTTGCTAACGCTGCTTGTGCCAAGGTTCAAACAAATGGCACCTGAACCTTCAATTGCAGACGATCCTCCATGGCCTCCTCTCTCACCTGGATACCAATTCTGACTCAATGCTCCATTCAAATGCGAGTGAGATGCGGCTGACATCAATGCTCCATTCAAATGGGACTGGCAGTGAGAAGGAGCTGACATGCATACAGTATTAACAGCCACACAGTCACCAACCCACGAATGTTCTGATGCATGTAAAAATTGTATAGTCTATTCTTCCTCAGATCCAGAGGATGCGATAGATGAGTCTGTTCCCTGAATTGCTGGGAAAATGGAGCAGCCTCCACCATTCGATTCGCTACTGGTTGAATATATAACAGACGTTTTTTCTGCTCTTGATGGTATGGTGAACTACCCCGACCCTTGACGAGAGATTGTATCTGTTCATCTCGGTCCTGAGTAGGGTAAGAACCAAAGAAAAACATTTCATCAGGTTGTCTGCATAACATATCCTTCTTATCCTGCCTGTCTGTTTCCAGATCAATCATTCTCACTAGTTGCTCCTTTATAAACTGTAAATGCCCAAGTGACATCTCATTGGCAGAAGCATATTTGTCACTCCCAGAAGTAGATGGACAATAGGAACCACATATGTTAACTGCCGCCCAAACATCACTAACAGATGGGAGCTGATTTCTCTGGCTAACATCCACTTGGTTCAGAGTTCTGGGGTTCCCTGATACAATTATTTGATCTTCATTTGTTTCTACAATTGAATAATGTCCATGAGATTCGATGTCCATGGATTTGACATGAGGGCTAGAAAATAACCTGGGTAAATTGAAGAAATCTACTGTTGATGATGATCATGAATGAAAATGTTGTTAGTCATCAGAATCCTTGATGGGAGATTTTTCAATTTAGCCTAGTTGATTAAGCCTTATATATTTTTTATTGAAAAGTCCATATTAGCGTTAATGATATGAATTTTTATAAATTGCATAATATATCCTTCTTTTTCCAAAGGTTTAAACATTAATATTTATCTTATGTTTCTTCTATTTCTAATTGTAATATATAGTTCCATTCTATGATCTAACAAATTAGAGTAATTTGTGACATATTCATCATGTTCTTCATTTAGTTTCTCATATTCTTCGGATAACATATCCATATTTTCTTTTTAATTTATGATATTTTTTATTTTTTCTAACATCCTGTCTAATAGATTATCTAATCCTTTTATAGTATATCTTGGCATTTTAATCAACAACCGATAATAAGNACTGGCATATCAATTATCAACTGATAATAAAGCATACATCAAACAACATCATATATAATCCCTGCGATTCTTTCCAGATATAAGGAGAATTCTATCTAAATTTAACAAAACTAATAGTTTTACCTTAATTTTTTGTTCTTTGGCTTTTATTCTGAGAACATAGTGACTTTCAAGCTTCTAGATCTGCAAACTACTACCTTCAACAGCTTCCTGCCTACACGTGGATCCTTGCTATTCCAGCTTTTGCTCTCACTGTATCTTTTCTAAGAATCAAAACTATAGATCTTAAATAAGATAAACTCTTCTTTTGTTAAAATAAGAAAGAAATCTTTTCCTTAATCTTTCGAGAATCTATGGGAAAAGTGGTTTAGAAACTCATTTCCATTTGAGAATATTGGAATGTGAATAATCTATTCAAAATAAGTCGAATTGATATATTTGAAAAATTGATACAAGATTTGACAGAAGGTTTTTGACTTTCTCACAAAATTGAGTGCTCCAATTCGTTCTGCCTTTCTTCTAGCCCGAAGGCCTCTATTTATACAAACATATGAGGAAAAATTATTAGCCTTTTACATCACTGATTATATCATTATCTAATTATGGAGTTTTATCAAAAGTCTCACCACTGAATTATCGTGGCTCTATTATTACATGAAACAAATAACTTTATTCAGGGTATTACCCTTCTATCATTGTCCTTCTGGCCCTACATTTTCACATGCAGTTTGGATACTCCCGCAACTAGCAAGATTCTTTTATGGTGTTAGGACATCCCGAAAATTGATGTATGTCAAATTTTGTAATGTAATCTTTCAATATCTTTGATTTCTTATATCCTCCATTGGTTAATAACATTCAATTTTTCATATTGGCAAAGATATGAGAATTTTTTATCATATAAATTTTTTGCAATATTGTATATGGCCTGATACCAAGTGCTCTTCTATGTTTTATCCATGACTTGGTTACCTTTGGCATTCTCTTCTCATTTTCCATGACATCTATGTTGAAGTTGGCTGCTACAGATCCAATTGATATTATATGTTCAACCGGATAGTAAAAAACTCCATCAAATTCTGGACTTATCGAGTAAAATTTTAAGTATACCATTCGTCCTCTAGAGAATTTTGATACTTCTTGTATGAACATTTCTTCAAATTTTGATAATTCTATCAAAATCTTCTCTGGATATATTAAATCCAAGAATACATAGTCTGCAATTGTTTTTATGAAAACAGGATCACCTCCTTCCATAGCTGTGACTCTAAGAAAAACATTATATCTTAAAGAGATGAAGTATGTATCACTGATTATCATTTCATAAACCATTTGGACTCTTATGGCATATTTTTCTTCGTTTGGGTCCAAAGAGGTTATATCATCTTGGTCTATGATGCTGATTGTTTTGGAATTATTTTTATCTGATCGTATCATTACTTTTTACTTGATGTTACTGGAAGAACGTCTCATTTTTTATTGGTTGGCATATTGTTCATTTTGGGTCAACTGCTGCTTCCCGTTGTACCTGTTTGGTATTGAATTGAAACTCATTTCTGAGCTACGTATTTCTGTCTCCAACAGTATATTTTTCAGTTGTGCTACAATAGCATCAACTTGATTTTTGAGTTCTATGGAATTTTTATGTTGTTCTGCACTTTTTTGGGTCGAGCTTTTTTCGGCCCGAGCCGAGCCCTGCCATTTTTTATTTTAATTTAAAATTTTTTTAATTGGTGCCTGCAACAGGTAGCTGCATGTTGCAAGCAGCTGAGCAAGCAGCTAAAAAAAAGTTGCCTTTACAGGCAGCTCTTTGAAAAAAAAAATTTAATTTTTTTTAAATGTTAGGCTCGCTCGGGCAACGGGTCGGCCCAGGCTCGAGCCGAAGCCCCAAAATGGAGCTCGGCTCGAGCTTTTTCTGGGCCGAGCCCGAGCCGCTCAAGTCGACCAGCTTTTTTGCCAACGCTAAATCCAACAATAGTTTTATACTTGAGTTGAATATTTCTGAGATCTGTACCGTACCCGTATCTTGTTTTCAGATTCCTCTTTGAGGAAGTCAGTCTTTTTTTGTATATGAATGACATATTGATATAATTCAATGATCTTATTTTTATCCATTAGCAAATTCTATATTTCTGCTGAAGAAATCTGCAAGAAAATTATTCACACCTTTAATATGAATAATATCAAAATTAGAAAAAGATAAATATGATTGCAATCTGTGTAGATAATATGATTGAGAATTGTCAGTTTCAACAATGAATTTTTTAGATAATAAGAATAATGAAAACTTTTTTATTCCTCTAATTATTGCTAATAATTATTTTTTATGAGTGATATAATTTATTCCTGCTTGATTGAAAGTTCCATTTGAATATCTGCAAATTTAATTTAAATCTGTTTTTAATATGGCTGCCCAATATTTGTCTGAGGCGTCTGTATTAACAACTAAATTGTTTTTTTCATCTGGTAATCTTAATTTTGGTAGATTTTTACATTCTTCTTTTAATGATTTAACAATTTCTGTATGTTCATCATTAAATCTTTTGGTATTTTTTTTCTAAGTAAAATTTGTATTTTATATCTCTTTTTTGAAAGATTTTCAATAAATCATTCTACATAATTTAGACATCCTAAGAACTTTTGTATTTGTTCTTTAGATCCTAATTTAGTTGGAAAACTATTTATCTTTTTAGATACATGAGTTTGTAGTTTTATTTCTCTTTTATCTATTGTTAATCCAAGAAAATCAATATCTTATTTTTCTATAATAGATTTCTTTTTGGAAAGAACAATTCCTTTCTTTTTATATTCATTTATAAATTGTATTATGGTTTCTATGTTCTTTCTTATTATTAGAATATATTAATATATCATCAACGTATACTATTAGAAATTTATCAAAATTTCTAAATATATTATCCATTTTCCTCTGATATATTTGAGGTGCATTTTTTAATCCAAAATGCATAACTAACCATTCGTATTTGCTTTGAGATGTACTAAAGGCTGTATATTGTATGCTATCTTCTTCCCTTTTTATATGTCAAAATCCTGACTTACAGTCAAACTTAGTGTAGTATTGTTTTCCTTTTACAATGTTTATTAAGACTTATTTATTTGGTAAAAAGTATCCATCAAATCTAGTATACTTATTTAACTTTTTCTAGTTATAATCATTCTGGCTTTTCCTCTAACTTGTTTAGAATGTTTCATTACCATAAAAACTGGACTATTATGGGGTCCATTACTTGGTCTAATAAGTTTTTGTTCTAATAATTCTTTTATTCTTTTCTGTTAATTCTATATTTGCTCTAGGATTGTATGGTTTCCAAAATATTAATGAATTTTCTCCATAAATTTTTTCTAATTGTTCTATAATTCTTTCTATAATTATTTCTACTTCTGTTTTTAGGACTTTTTTATACATTATTAGTTCATTTTTTATCTCATTATGTACAACTGGTTTTTTCTCCCATCTATCACCACGCTGGGCTGACTGAACTCTATAGGGTCTAAATTCTCTTGATATTTTTAACAAATGTCCATAAGGGGTTTGTAACATTATCATATAATTATTTTGTTTATAATATTGAAACTGTTGTATAAAATCATTTCCTATTAATATATCACACTCTAATTTATTATAACTATATATTTTATTTATTATTATTTGTTTACTTCTAAGGATTATACTAATTTTTTCAGCACTTTATTATTTGAGTATCTTCTTATGTTACTCATATTATTTTTATCTTACTTTTATTACCTCATGATTTTATTAAGAAATTTTTAAATATAGTTATATCACTTCATGTATCTATCAAAGCACAAATTGTTATATCTAATTATATAATAGTAACTTAAATATATACGGCTAATGGAAAACTTATTTGATTATTCATTTTAATTTTTTGTTACATAATATAGTTTGTCAATTATAAAATATATATAGTCCTTCTCTTTTTATACTATAATCTTCAAATCCATTTACGAAACTCATTCCTAATAATATATGAGGGTTAATATTCATGCTTTCATCTATAT